TCTGTACCTACAGCGGATATCGCAGAGTTTGCTTATGTGCTAAGTAGATCGTTATCTGCATAGGTGTTCGTGCATCGTCATGATTAGCTAACAGATCCAACTATAATCGGCATGTGAACGTTTCTGTTCAATCTGCTCAGCGAATGATATGACCTACAGCTATTCTTGCTTTGTCAGTTCTATAGATCAAGGGGACGCGACAGTAGACCTGGGCTGTGGCTGTGCGCATCTTGACACAGATCCTGAGATAGGAATGAGAGACGAACGTAATCTTCACGTCCTTGCCTCACACCCATTCTCCTCGACACAGTTTATCTGAACATGCACGTAGATCTACGCACCATAACATTGGTGGTACGTACAATGTATGTGTACTTGCTACAACTTGCAAGTGGTTATTTTACAATGATTGTAGTGGTAGGCGCTAACAGTCCATCACAGTACACCGTGTTCTAGACTATGGCAAGAGAACATCCCTCTGCATGCAACGGATGTAAGACGCACTGGGCCTAGTCTTGTGGGAGTTGTGGGAGCGCATGGTCACCAATCAAGGTCCGAGACACGGTGAACATGTGGTGGTAGGCAGCTAGCAGGCAGTGCGTGCGTGCATGTGTGCTAGCTGTTGGAAACGTGCAACAGATGATGTGCGTGACCTGCTTTGCCGTGGACGAGTGCTGTCCGCTCCCATCCCATGTCCATCTCCCAGTTGTTGTTGATGCTTCATAGAGCACATGCACAAGGTGTCAGTATATCAGTGTATTTGTCCAGCATGGTATGATCACTTCTAGTCAAGTCCCAAGCCAAGGACCATCACCTACAACACACAGAACTGACTTTAAAAACTCACAGAATGATCATATAGTAGGGAGTTCAGGCAAAAAAATCAAATTCAGAATTCCCAGGAAAATTCTGTTGGAAATCGAATAAGCACGTCTTTCAAGAGCACACAGAAAATTTCATGTGAAAATCTCAAAGCAAACCTGAGATACAGTCATTTCAATTGTGGTGCCAATCATCATAGAATTGTGTTGAATTGTATGTAAACGTGTATAGCACGCATGGCACAAACTGACAAACGGACCCAGGGGAAGTTGACCAGGGGACATAGTGACAAAAACAAAAAGTTCGCTGAAAAGAGCCCAAATGACAGGCCTATATGATAAGCAATAATGTACAAACATTTCTATGTACAACAACTACCTGACGGCACGTCGCCGTGTATTGTTTCCATGGCAACCCCTAGCAACATTGCAGAAACGCAACGAAACATATCAATGATGACAATATGGAGTGAAAACGTTGCACAAGCGTGGTAAAACAAAAATGGAATGTAGGTTAACAGTGTTAACGGGAAATTCTAGCATTGTTACCATAGCAACGGAACAGGAAAAAAGTGAAGAGAACAGTTGGAAGAGGGGAAGACACAAAAAAGACAATAAAAACAGTCAATACAATAACCACAAACTTGTCTTGACCATGTCTTTGACCATGTCTTTGGAAAATAAAATTATTCATTTTCAACGCGGAGCCGTTTTGCTGTTGGCTCCAGCTCGCAATCTACATTGTCAGCCGAGGTGGTGGTGTTGGCGGCTGGCTCTGACGAAGCTGCTCGCTGACTGTCCACATCAGCCGGACTGGTGGTGTAAGTGGTTGGCTCCAGGGGAGTTGCGTGCTGACTGCCTGCAACATGAGCCGAGCTGCTGGTGTGGCCGGTTGGGTCAAGCGGAGTTGCTTCCTGACGCTCACCTGACTCCGACTGGCCGGATGATGGAGAGGGTAGTATAAAGGGCTCAGCCAGTAGGACAGCAATCTGATCGCTGGCTTTGTCCTTCAGCAGCCTTGCTCGACGTTGCTGCAGAGAACGGACTCTAGAGGCAAACGTGCCAACAGCAATATCTTTGGTACTGGAACCTATCAGAGAACCAGTCCATTTCAACATATCGTTGAACGAAAACTTCGAGGCATTTTTGAATGTAAGTAGCTCCAGAACGACATCGTTGGTGACAGGAAAATCACTCGTCTTCAAACAGGTAAGAGCTTCGTCTGATTTCAACGCATTTCTCAGTTTGCTTGAATAAATACCAAGCCTCCGACATGCAGGTCCAGGGCTATTCTCCTCCTCATCGGCCATGAAGAATTCAAATATTCAAATTCTCGCTGTAGAGAAATACAGAGCAGACAAATATTCCTTACCGCCTGGAACCGCTGCAAACTAGATGAAGAAAGACGATCGTTCTTACCTAATTTTGGGACGAGGAACACGATGGAAGAATCACCGTCCGTCAACGCTCAAAGGAACAACATCAAAATCGCGTTCAAAGTTTTACGGCAAGACGTGGGAAGTCCCATCTCACGACTGTGACCTCGAGTGAGACACCAAACGAAAGCTAAAAATCTCCTCTGTCAAATGGCTGTCATCTCCTTCTTCAACAAACTACAAGTCTAAAAAAAAATCAATATTTCCACGTGGCACATTTTTGTGCCATGCTCACGTCATAAATGCATGCATGACGCGTGACGAAGATTTTTCACCGTGCTGTCACGTGACTGAACTCCCTACATATAGATACAAGGCATTCATGTACCTGTCCATACTGTCCATCTATGTTGCACAACCAAACCATGCACCCCCGAATCCCTCGCGATCGATCGCGTCGAGTCAGTGATTACATTGTATTATTGTAGACTTTCAGTAAGACCGCTGGCTGTTACCGGTGAAGGGCCCTGCCACATCCTCGCGAATCTCGTTTGCGTCAGGTTGTGAGTTTGCACATGACGCTAGCTGTCCCACACCACAACCCTTCGCTCTAGCCCTGTCCGCAGGGTGCAGCGGCTACAGCCAAGGAGCACTGTGGCATGTCCAGCTTCAAAATAAGTATGGTCCGATGTTCTGACAGTCGAGGATTAATTCCGAAATCAATACTCCTGAAGGCTTCCTATCTGGTTTCGCTCATGCGGGACCTCCCCGCGCTCATTTCCATCCTCCTCTAAGACATGGGTGCGTCAGCTCATTTTGACAGCAGCTACAGAAGTCGTGCTGCACGTTACTGTATTTACGACAGCGATCATTCAGCTTATCTGTAATGCTGAACTGACGTCCGGCGCCATTTGGACACACGTGACCGCAGGAGGAGCCACCATTGGCGCCAGCCAGTCGCACATAACCTATGCCGAGCCGTGTGCGCGCCCAGCACTCATGCACAGGGCACGGGCCCGCACGGCTGGACCACGTGCAACAGGGTGCGCACCGACGTCAGTACGTGAAGGTCGGAAAGCTAGCAACCGATAGTAACCCCTACTGGCCCTAGCGCAACGGAGTGGGATGTCAAACTCCGGCCTACTTCAACCTGGCTAATTGCGCTCAGCAATTCCTTATCGCAGTCTCCCTCTCGTGAGGAGGAGAGCTGTGAGTCTTGTCCTGTCTATTCATCAATGTCGATGAAATTAGAGCTTCGAAAGGTGCAAGAAGAAGGGACGAAGTTGTTTTGCTACTTTGGGTTCGCGTCTGCATGTCAGTTTGCAGCGACAAAGCTGCCAACGCCTGTTGAAGCTTGCTTTCAAAATGACCAGCGCCCTGTCAATGTTGCGAGACGGTGTCGGAAAGCTGGAAACTTTGTCGGACCTGTGCGCTTTGGCTCAACAAGGCAATGCGCTCGACGGGGGAAAGCGTTCACAGGTCCTGGAAGAGGCCATGCTGGCATCGCGACCAGTGGTCACTCATCAGCACCAGGCGCATCATGATATCAGGCTGACGAACAATACGTATGGCAACGAGGAGCAGTTGGCTTCTAGGAGCGCGTCGCTTGTGAATGAGCTCACCAGCTGTTTGGAGCAGCCGCATGGACAACATCAGCAACAGCAGTCGGAAGAACGCAGAACATTCATCACCATGCCGGTGGAGAACAGGGGCCTGAGCTCCCCCACAAACAACTGTAGCAGCACCATTGCAAGGAGCAATTGTGCTACAAAAACTGCCAGCAGTAGCATTGTCCGAAGCAAGAAGGCGGATCAGCCGCAGCGAATCAAGCGCCCCATGAATCCCTTCATGATCTGGGCCAAAGGTGAGAGGTCGATAATTCTCAATCGCAATCCCACTATGCATAACTCAGATGTGAGTAGGCAGCTTGGTCGGAATTGGCGGTCTATGAGTGATGAAGAAAAACAACCTTTTATCCGGGCCGCGGAGCAGTTGGCCGAGGAACATCGGCGCAAACATCCCGACTACAAATATCGGCCACGCAAGAAGGATCCAAATGTCCAACGAGTGCGTGGACGGAGGCTGGACAGTGATGCCTTGAACCGGGTGACCAAGGCACTCACTCAGCAAGAGATAAATGAATGCGTTAGCGGCTGCATTTCGCCGCTCATGAAGCGTGCACCCCGTCCATCCAGCATGAAGCTCAGCAGCACAACGTTACCTTTCGAGTATGCCTTCCAGCCATCGGTCGACACAGCTGCAGAGCAACTTGAGAAAGCGGCCATGATTGCCAGTGCTCCAGTAACCCCGGTTATGAGGGAGAGTCCAGAGATGATCGAACAGCATCGCCAGCAGCGGCATTATTCGCCCTACGAACAACCTCCCAGTTGCTCGTACAGAACTGGTGCTAGTGAAAGAGGTTGGTATTCCTGCCCACCAAGCCCCTCGTCCTACTCTGAGAAACCGTACTCGACCATGCGGCCTGCCGTAGATCGCCAGCACCAGCAGCAGCAAAGATCATTGGAAACTACACCAATGGCCGACACACCCTTGACTGAAGGCTTCAACAGTCCTCCACCACTAGTCAACTGCAGTCAGTACCAACCAGCGACCCCTAGTGGCAACTGTCCGCCTCCGCTGCGCAACAGAACTATTGACCGGAGCAATAGCAATGCTCCATTGCATCAGCAGCAGCAGCAGAATCAACACACCCACGATCATGTATCAACCGGTGCCTACCATGAGCAGCCAGGTCCACCTCCTATGCTGAGCCACGGTCATTTACAGCACGAGCCACAGCAACCGCCGCCAGCATCAGTGTGTGCTGAAGAACAGTCATACCAGTACACAATGCTGGGCCATGTACAGCAGAACGGCGACCCGTATCACAATCAGATGTGCGATCACTCCTTGCACGGAAGTCGCGTTGCCAGTCAGCAATCCAGTCCGGTGCAGGAGTACGCAGTGACGGCACAACACTCACCACCACACCTTGCCGACCACACACCACGGCACATCTCCCCACCCTGTAGCGACACGCGCAGTTACACATCGTCCACCCAATCGCTGACTCCTGATCAGTTTGAGCACATGGCACCATCCGCTCCGAGCAGCCGACGTTCGTCTCAAGTATCCAATATCGCACAGAAGTTACTAACTGTGATGGTGAAGAGAACTGATGAGAATAGCACACCGGATGGGAACGGACCGTACTTATCCCCCGTGACCGAGCAGAAGTACGTTCCACCCACACAGCAACAGCAACCACCACCACCGCCGCCGCCTCTGAACCTTCACGCTGAGACTGCTGGTCATTGCCAAAACCCAGCCATGGCCACAACCTCAAACTCCTACTATCATCATCACTCGGCTAAAATGCACTCGCCGATGAGTACATATGATGGACACGATCAGCGACCGGATCCCTACAACGACTGGCCGGCCCATGCTGCAGTAATACCGCAAACCCACCAGGGCCATCACATGCAATTTCACTATCCGACCTGAGCTTTATTGAATCTTACTTTCAATTCTGACTACTCGTTTTAGCAGGATGCCTCACTAGCAGACACGACTGCATGGCACGTTCCGAGTATAGTTTTTAGATAGAGTACACTGTAGACACCTGCAAAAATACTTGTCAGTCCAGCTTGATTCGTTTAACAGTTTACATAGAAAATGTTCAACTACTGCACATACATTATAGTGCATAGCGTTCACTGTTTTCCGTTTTTGATTTATTATTATTACTCCGGCATCTGGCTCTATAACGTCACTTCCTTTACATTGATCTTCTCAAGGTTTTGTTACACCTTTGTCGGCTTTCACACTTTGAATTCTTGATCTCTTTCTTGCAGCTTGACTTGTCCACCGATCAACACTGACAGTCCTTATGCGTACAATTCTTTTATCCAAACCCATCAAGTGCTTGTTGTTTTTGACTCCCATGGCCGGCGGTGGGGGTCCGCTTGGATCACTGAGGTGCACCATGGCTCTGCAATGATGTTGCAGCCAATACTGGCTTGAGCCCAAACCTGTTGATTCATGGCATCTGACACGGCGGGAACAATAACTGAGCGGGGACTTTGATATTGCCTATACAATCATGTACTCAGGCTAAAGGCTGCCCAGCCGGGCGGCCCGGGCCCAGAGGCAGAGTGCACTGTTTCGCCTTTGCGAAATCAAGTGGTTGGATGAGATAAAGAGGGCGGGGGGGGGGGGGGGGAGGAGGAGAGAATACAGGACTGGAAGTCTTCATGCCTGGATGCTGAGTCTGATGGTGAGAACTTCTACTTTTACTGCGATAGTGGCTAGCTACTGTACAATAGACGCTGCCACCATCCTGTCTCACATGTGCATGCACTGCACAGACCTACAAAACTGTGCTGGCTGCATCATAATAATAGTGCATGCACTAGCACTGGACTGCCCAGACCGCAGACTGCAGTCGGAATGCTGCATGCAGGACATAACCATGATAACTGTTACTGTCTAATCTGTGGATTTATAAGCCGTGCTAGGTTTGAGTACAGTGTCTACGGCCATACCACGTTGAAAATACCGGTTCTCGTCCGATCACCGAAGTCAAGCAACGTCGGGCGAGGTTAGTACTTGGATGGGTGACCGCCTGGGAATACCTCGTGCTGTAGACTTTTTTTCCTCTTTTTCATTTCGTTTTTTTGTCATAATTTTGGATATGGAGTCATGTTCAAAATAGTTCGATATCACTCACTGTTTTTCTAGCATTCGGTGTCTTTGTTGAAGCATCCGTCGTCCCTTTTTCCTCCGGTGCCATGAATTTTGCTTTGCTTCGGAGCCAGAGGCGCTTGTCCGTGCTGGCTTCGCACCTCAGAAGCATGTCATCAAGTGGCTCTGACCCCACTGATGTTGAATTTCTCAGGAATGGATGTGTTGGTCATGCCAAACTCAACCGTCCGAAAGCCCTCAACTCTCTCAACGTCAGTATGCTCAGCAAGCTTTCAGAGGAGTTCCGCCGCTGGGAAGCAGACGATTCTGTTTCTTTGTACCTACTCTCGGGAAACGGTGGCCGTGCTTTCTGTGCTGGCGGAGATGTGAGGTCCCTAGCCAAAGCAGCCACTGAGAATGACCATGCATTTCTTGTAGAGTTTTTTCAGACTGAGTTTTCTGTAGACCACCAGCTAGCTACACTGAAGAAGCCACTGGTGGCTCTTGCTGATGGTATCTGGATGGGTGGTGGCGTGGGCATCTCGGCACACGCACCAGTCCGCGTCGTCACGGAGAAGACGGTGTTTGCCATGCCGGAAACTGGCATCGGGTTTTTCCCGGACGTCGGCGTGACGCATGTCCTATCGCGTATGGGAAATATTGGCAGATTCCTGGCGCTGACCGGCCTAACGCTGCGCGGCCACGATGTCCTGTTGGCTGGACTAGCCACGCACTTTGTGCCCAGCGACCAGATGGAGGCACTGACCAAGGACCTGGAGAGCGTGTCTGCTGCTGATAGCATGTCCTCTGTGCTTGAGAAATACCATGCGGACGAGGTCAGCTCGCCGGGAGGTGAGCCAACATACATGCGACGTCATGAGAGCGACATCGAGCACTTGTTTGCTGGCGACACTCTGCAAGCTGTCCTGAGCGGCATGGAGGAGAAGAGTAGTAGTAATGAGTTTGCAAGGGACGTGTTGGCCGTGCTCAAGTCTCGATGCCCGCTATCAATGGCAGTTACCTGGGAGCAGCTGCAACGCAACAAGGATCTAAGCTTACATGAAGTGCTTGCCAGTGACTACAGATTAGCATTGCGTACAATCGTGCACAGTGAATTCAGGGAGGGAATCCGTGCGGCACTTGTTGACAAGGACAAAAATCCCCAGTGGACATCTAGCCTGGACAGTGTGGATGTGGATTCGTTCTTTGCACCCATGAAGGCTGGTGAAGGATTTCAGCAAGGCAACTGAATACTGGGCAATGTACTGCAGTGAATTGTCCGAGACCTGTCTTGGAGTACACATGGGTACATATACCGGCACATGTATGAGCTACTGTGTGTTTTGTGATGTTCGTCCGAAGCTCTTATTCCTCTATCCCAATGCTGTGTGGGTGCTGATGACAGTTCGATGACTGAGTACTATACTCCCTGCTCTAGATCGTTGACTAGACAATTTGTTCGTTGACCCGGTGTTAGCGGCGAATGGAGGTAGGCTGAAAAGCTATTAGCAGCTCTCAGGCTATTGTTCGCTCTGCTTTTCCTTATTTCCCTGTTGCTTGTTTGCTCGTGTGTATGTGCGTGTGTGTGTGTGTGTGTGTGTGTGTGTGTGTGTGTGTGTGTACGTACATACGTACGTGTGCTTGCGTGTGTGTGCTTTTGCTTGTGGGTGTACCATGGAACATTTACCTTGCTTGTACGCCTGTCCCAGTATGTGTTTGTGTCCTCCGGCATGTGTAGATTCCGTTTACTACAGTTTTATTCAGATAGATGTTCGGGTGATGAGATCTCTGTACCCACATTGTTAGTGATCAAACTCTCTTGTACTTGAATAGGTGATCGGTTTTTACAGCTATTTTGACCCGCACCTAGCGTGTCACTGTTCTATTTATTCCTAATTTCCAGTATTTTTTGATTTTTTTTAATTCTGCCACGTTGCAGCTGGTGCATGTATCAACAAATATAGGCTCGTGTCCGAACGTCGCTCTTCAGCAGTCGGATAGCGCTTGCCATGCCACAGTGTCGTCAGGGAAGCACGTAAGGGTGGTCGTGTGCTGCCTCCTCTACTGGCTGACGGGGCACTAGGTTAGCAGCTGGTAAGAGTGTACGAGTACTTGTCTGCAGTCCACTCTGACATTTTTGAGATTGTTTTTTTCCGGATATGAACCAGAAGCAAACTGAAAGTACCTCAGCTTCTCCGCATGTGTTTTTTGGGAATGGGCTTGGGTTGTCTCTTTCAATTTCTTGACACTGCAGAGTGCAGAGTACATGTAGGCTACAAGGAAGCTAGGGTTTTTCTTAGGTTTTAAATTTGGCCAGGTCGGCATGACCCAATAGGCTAATGTGTGGAGTTACTGGATGGTGTACTTCTGATTATGCTTTCACCTTCCAGAAAAAGAAATTGCCAACTGGCAAAGGTAGCAGAACCCTGAACAGACACTTTTGATCCAAATTTTGTCGTTCGCGAGAATTTATCGCTGTGTTCCGATGATGGGATGTGAAATGGACGCAGAACCTGCAGTCACCCATCTGAAACCAGCGCCCGATTGCACTTTGCTAATGGTTGCATAGTAAAGCATGTCATGTCTCTTGAACCGCCCTTAGCCGAACCCCGAACATCTTGGAAGAGAACATTAATGCAGTATATCACTTTCAGGTCTGCATTTGTCTATTTACACCTTCACAGCGCACTCACTGTAACATTATGCAGAGATGCTGCAGGCATGTGCACAGTGCGGCATGGAGAACTACTTTAGGAAAATATAAATAATCACAGTGAATATACTGTCCCCAGGGAAAATTGCGGAAAAAAATCGCAAAAAACGCGGGGAAAAACGCGGTATAATATGGCATAATTTGTGGTGAATTTGCGGTAAATATGCGGTAAATATGTGGTGAATAATATTGATGTGCGGCAATTGTCAGTGAGTATGTAGTGAAATCAATCAGCTACAAGTCTCTGGTGTACGCACTCGTCATATTTGAGTAAAAACCCGCCACGATGAGACGTTGCTGACCGAACAGTGCACTGTGTGTACGTGTAGTGCAACAAAAAAGTTCAAAAAACGCGGTCTTTTAAAAAATCGCAAAAAACGCGGAAAAAAACGCGGCGGCGGAATCGCAATTTTCCCCGGGGACAGAATATAGCAAGAGGCCATGGCATTATAATTTTAAAAAATGTATATACCGGTATTCCTAAAAAATTCTCCTCTGAGGAAGTGCAGAGTAGTGAACAATAGTGAATAACCACCAAAAAAATACAAGTGCAATACAACATACATGTACATGTAGGTGATAATGTAAATCCTTCATGTATTAGTATGCAGTACGAGTTCCACAGTAGATCTACCACTCTTATTTATAGGCGTGCCCATTGTACACTTGGCGAATGCATATAAAGGGAAATGAGTCCGAATGGCGTACGGAGGTAGAGTTCTGGCTGTGCAGTCATTCCAATGCATTATGGACACAGAGCAATGCAACGTGTGTTACCGTATTATCTCTAATATAAGCACAGTCTCCAATAATAGCACAGTCTCCAATAATAGAACACCTTGGGGCGGCATTCAAAAAATAAAGTGCTCAGTCTCCATTATAAGCACGCTGTGTAAATTCATTATCTGTACCGGCGTAAAAAACCCTGAAATGTGTGTGTCATACATGAATTTGGCATGGCAACATGCCTCTGAAATGAGGTTGAAATAATAATGGAACAGTCTCCAATAAAGGAACGTCTCCATTAATAGCACAGGGCGGAGGTACATTGAAAAAATAAAGGACCGTGCTTATATTAGAGATAATACGGTATTCATTTTTTGTATCCACGGATCCTCTTTTCTCGCATGTAACCTACTTAGTACTGTACCCACATTCACCTGCTCATTTATGTCACAGTCCACAACTACATGTAGTATTCACCTGCTCCTCATTTATGTCATGGTCCACAACTACATGACTTGTATATATACAGAAGCCTTGCTTGGTAGTTTAACATGTTTTTCGATTTTGACAGCATGTTACAAGGCGAGGACGAGGGTCCGAACCTGGGTTTTCCCAATACGGTTCAAATGGTCGCAAGACCGGGACTCTGCCAACCGGGTTATGGTTGTAGTCAGGAGCACTACGCGTCCTCGCCTTGTAACATGCTGTCAAAATCGAAAAACATGACTTGTATACATGTAGTGCATCAAGAGTACATAACCCAAGAGTGTGCAACTGCCTGCACAACCTCTATGC